TGCTAAAACTGGGATATGGGGACAGCAATTGGATGAAGCCAAGTTCATTAACTTATCTCTTCATTATTTGGAGAGTGTTATCATAGCTTTACAGGATCAAATTAAAAAGACAGAAAGTAGAGCAAGGAGCAGTAGTGCCGGTTCTTCCAGGACTTATATGTAAGTGTAAAATGCATGTATTTAATCAAGAGAATTTTTGAGAGATAGTGTATAGTGTTGGCCATTTTGTTTTCTGTTCAGTTTGTTTTTTGTTGGAAAAGAAAAAGATGTGTAATAGGTTTATCACAAGAATACCACTCAAGCAGTACAGGATTGCATCAATCTGTGCTATGTATTTGTACAGTTCTCTCCACACACTTTTACAGTGATGACCCTACATTTTGTTAAATTTGTTCATCCATGGCTAAATCATGATTATTCATGTTTAATTCTATTAATCTAGCAATGATGTACATGTAATTACAACTGACATTTGTTAACCCCATAATAATTCGGTTTTATTTTTCCTGTTTTCGCAGCCGTATAGGTAGTGCTTCTAGTAACCGTTCTGTGAGGAGTCGTTCTGGTAGTTTCCACAGCACGTCAACAGCAAGGCACATCCCTTATAGGAATTCATTACTAACCATGGTTTTAAGAGATAGTTTAGGTGGGAACTGTTTAACTGCTATGATAGCCACTGTATCCATAGAAGAATCCAATATTGGAGAGACTATGTCAACTTGTAGGTTTGCACAGAGAGTTGCTTGTATTCAGAACCATGCAAGGTAAGTCAGTTAGCTGTGATGTCTGTAATGTGTTACTTCTCTGTATTCAGAACCATGCAAGGTAAGTCAGTTAGCTGTGATGTCTGTAATGTGTTACTTCTCTGTATTTAGAACTGCATATTCAAGGTAAGTGTGTAAGGCATTCGCTGATTGGCTCCTGAGTTGTTCTATGTTCTTTGTGTAATTAGGTGATTGTATGCAAGGTATTTTCCACACAAAACTGATGAATTTGGATGAATTTTGTTAGCAGTTGGCTTAATATTACCCACAACAGATTGTTTAGCTGTGAAAGATATGTATTTTTTTCCTGATTTGTAGGAATCTGAAAAATCCATTGCGCAACTTGTCTCTTTATTTAGTTTCATGCCGTATTCAGGATGATGGCCCCCCATATAGTAAATATCAAATTTATTTTGTTATCATTTGTGTGCCAGCTGACTGTGGTCCAAATAATGATCATTGAGAGGTCGAAATGTTGGTCTTAATAGTAAAGTTTGAGAATACAACAATTCCAGTGAATGTATGCAGAGAATTAGCATTGCTATTGACTCAACACACAATTAAATCAAGTGATAAGTGTGACATGGTTATAATGAACAGATTAGTACTAAGAAAGTATGCTTTCAGTTGCATTATTGACTCCAATCAAAATTTTATTCAACCACAAATCATATTACATGTTTTATGGTTTCTTGATCAAACTCGTGACTAAATAAAACTAGTTTATAAACTACAACAAAAACATTAGGTTTTTACATCATCACCAACTATACATATAACTAACATGTGATATATTTTATCATAGTCGAAATGAAGAACTCGATGATAAAATGGTTATCAAGAAACTAAGAAGACGTATAGCTGAGTTAGAAGCGGAGATTGCATGTCTGAAGTCTTCACAATATGCAAATCAGGACAATTATGAGGTATGACACATTTTATGTTGAGTCTTCATGAAAAGAAAATAATTTAAGAAACGCTGATGGCACATTTTAAAGTTCACAATGATATCTATACTTGACCTCAGTTAATTCACAATGATATCTATACTTGATCTCAGTTAATTCACAATGATATCTATACTTGACCTCAGTTAATTCACAATGATATCTATACTTGACCTCAGTTCACAATGATATATATACTTGACCTCAGTTCACAATGATATTTATACTTGACCTCAGTTCACGATGATATCTATACTTGACCTCAGTTAATTCACAATATCTATACTTGACCTCAGTTAATTCACAATGATATATATACTTGACCTCAGTTCACAATGATATATATACTTGACCTCAGTTCACAATATTTATACTTGACTTCAGTTCACAATGATATTTATACTTGACCTCAGTTCACAATGATGTCTATACTTGACCTCAGTTAATTCACAATGATATCTATACTTGACCTCAGTTCACAATGATATCTATACTTGACCTCAGTTCACAATGATATCTATACTTGACCTCAGTTCACAATGATATCTATACTTGACCTCAGTTCACAATAATATCTATACTTGACCTCAGTTCACAATGATATCTGTACTTGACCTCAGTTCACAATGATATTTATACTTGACCTCAGTTCACAATGATGTCTATACTTGACCTCAGTTAATTCACAATGATATCTATACTTGACCTCAGTTCACAATATCTATACTTGACCTCAGTTCACAATGATATCTATACTTGACCTCAGTTCACAATAATATCTATACTTGACCTCAGTTCACAATGATATCTGTACTTGACCTCAGTTCACAATGATATTTATACTTGACCTCAGTTCACAATACCTATACTTTACCTCAGTTCACAATAATTATACTTGACCTTTGTTCACAATGATATCTATAATTGACCTCAGTTCACAATTATATCTGTACTTGACCTCAGTTAATTCACAATATCTACACTTGACCTCAGTTCACAATACTTATACTTGACCTTGACCTTGACCTGTACTTGGCTGCCTTGATACCCTCCCTAAAAGCAGTGATGCCCTCCTTGATTGCCTTAATGCCCTCCCTGACTGCCTTGATGCCCTCCCTGACTCCCCTGATGCCCTCCCTGACTCCCCTGATGCCCTCCCTGACTGCCGTGGTGCCCTCCCTGACTGCCTTGATGCCCTCCCTGACTGCCTTGATGCCCTCCCTGACTGCCTCGATGCCATCCCTGACTGCCTTGATGCCCTCCCTGACTGCCTCAATGCCCTCCCTGACTGCCGTGGTGCCCTCCCTGACTGCCTTGATGCCCTCGCAGACTGCCTGGATGCCCCCCAGACTGCCTTGATGCCCTCTCTGACTGCCTTGATGCCCTCCCTGACTGCCTCGATGCCCTCTCTGACTGCCGTGGTGCCCTCCCTGACTGCCTTGATGCCCTCCCTGACTGCCTCGATGCCATCCCTGACTGCCTTGATGCCCTCCCTGACTGCCTCGATGCCCTCCCTGACTGCCGTGGTGCCCTCCCAGACTGCCTCAATGCCCCCAGACTGCCTCGATGCCCTCCCTGACTGCCGTGGTGCCCTCCCAGATTGCCTCAATGCCCCCAGACTGCCTCGATGCCCTCCCTGACTGCCGTGGTGTCCTCCCAGACTGCCTCAATGCCCCCAGACTGCCTTGATGCCCTCCCTGACTGCCTTGATGCCCTTCCTGACTGCCTCGATGCCCTCCCTGACTGTCGTGATGCCCTCCCTGACTGCCTTGATGCCCTCCCAGACTGCCTTGATGCCCTCCCTGACTGCCTTGATGCCCTCCCAGATTGCCTCAATGCCCCCAGACTGCCTCGATGCCCTCCCTGACTGCCGTGGTGCCCTCCCAGACTGCCTCAATGCCCCCAGACTGCCTTGATGCCCTCCCTGACTGCCTTGATGCCCTTCCTGACTGCCTCGATGCCCTCCCTGACTGTCGTGATGCCCTCCCTGACTGCCTTGATGCCCTCCCAGACTGCCTGGATGCCCCCCAGACTGCCTTGATGCCCTTTCTGACTGCCTAGGTGCTCTGAAATTTTCATTACACGTACAGTTTCAATGAGACCAAAACATTTTCAACATGTTTTGCCTCCAAAATGATTGCCCCAACAATTCTAAAGTTGGAACCCTGTACATGGTGCATATTTCGAACAAGAATGTTGCATTGACAATTTAATAAATTAGATATTTATTTACCATGTTATTCATGTTTTTTTTTATAATTATAACAGGTACATCTGAGCAACACTGAAGTAGAAAATGCTGAAAAATCTGAAAAGATTCCCCGAACAATTGGACTGTCTGATGATGATAAGAAACTATGTAGGAGAATTATGCATGGTTTTATTAGCGGTCAAATTAAGGATCCTGTAGCTGCTGGTGAGCATTTATGATTGTCCAGTTTGTTGGGGTTCGCTCCATGTTGTGCTGTAACCATATCCAAATCTTTGATTGGTAGTGTTTTTTGAGTGTGCTGAGAAATTAATTCATACTTTGCCTATCAAACAAAATTACTTCTATTTAAAAGAGTAGGCATATGTGGTTACCATAGTTGCGACATTAGGTTGTCCCAACATATAGTTGTACAATACACCCAATCCAATTGGTTTCATTATTCCACTTGATTTCACATCACTGCATTTCACTGACATTATATTACCTTATTTAGGGATTAAAGATCCATACAAATTCAAAGAGTGTACACAGATACTAAGAACAATGCTGATAACGTCGTATGCACAGGATGACAGCACTGAACTTAAAGATGAAAGCATCTCTTTGGAGAATGATAGAGGGCGCACTGTACATAGAACAAGAACAAAAACTGGAAGCTATGGGGATCAAGAGTCTTCAACGCAAGAACGTATGCAAGACAAAAGTGGCGATACAATGCCAATGCCACGGCCTAGGAGGTATACTATCAACACTTAATAATCTAACAGTATTTTAGCGTTAAATTCATCCTTGTTATGAATGATATATATATAACTGATTTTACGTACAACTCAGCCAAAATCATCTAATTGAACTTGGCCGTCACAAATACAAGACAGACTTTGCAAACATTGTAAAAACTTGAAGATGAAAGTTGTTACAACATGTGACTGGTATAAAAATAAAGGAGATATTCTATATGCAGAATTCACAAGACTTATACCTTTTTTCAATATTCACACAAACAGCAAACAATTTGAAACATTTTTATTTTATTTCATTTAATTGTTTGTCACCTTGTTCTGACATACTTTATTACATTGGTTTTGTTATTTCATTACAACATAATAAAACACATAATTTAGGAAATAACAAACAATGTTTTGTGTTTCAGAGCACAGAGTGCTCCAGTAACAACCAACAGAAGAGCCAGACGTAGCAGGCAATTGGATCATCAGAAAGGTGTAGAGGAAGCACATCAAACTTTAAGTCCAAGAGGATCAAGTAAGTAATATACTGCCCTCACAGCTGAGTTTGATAATTGACATGTAAGAGAGTGTATCTGTATTGTCAATAGAACAATAAGATTAATAACATGCTGGTGAAGCAGATAATTGGTAACAAAATCTATAAATAAGATAAGATATGATAAGATAAGATAATTCTTCATTACTATCATAGAGAAACAATACATTTCTAGTTTGGTTAAAAAAAGTGTAATAAAGGTATAAATTATAATTAAATTAATTGCAAAATCATTCAGAGAATTGTTTTCTAATTTTTATTTAGTAGTCTACATTGTAATAAAGAAAACTGTGTTGAAGTAAACACATTATGTTATATAAGTGATATGCATATTTAAAGCAGTGTATATTATAAAATGAGATTTCATTTAAATTTATTTTCACATTGCCAGCCTTAGTGCTCTTCACCATATTTTCACTATGCCTTCACACAAGGTTTGGTCAAACAATTTGGGATGTACATACTTGGAATATTGAAGGCAAAGTATTTGAAGTTTAATACAAGGATATTTTGCAAATCAACATTTTACAGTGATATTATTCAGTAACCAACTGTCTTTGAAAGAAAGTAAATATCCATACTTGTGATGAGTGTGATCAGTGTATTGTAGTTGTTTAGCTTTACCCTTTGACATGTTCTGAATAGCTTATGAAATAGTTTATTGAAACACTTCAAATTCTTCGGAAGCAATTAAAATGGTTACAATAACCTACTAGAACACATATTAATTAAAAACATACAAATTTACAAAAATTACTATCTAAAGCATGTTTTAAAAAAAAGTTTTTAAAAAAAATACTATTGAAAAAACTGGCAATAATAAGAAAAAAAAATAATATAAATCATTAAAACATGGAACAAAAATGAAAAAAAAAGGATTAAAGGAAAAAAATATTTATTTAATTTGCTAAAAGGTGTTGCTGGATAAGGTTTGTGTTATTTTTAATAAATTGGGAAACTGGTATTTGTACATTCACGTTTGTATCATTAAATTTAGAAATTTGTTGTTGTAACTCATGAAGAATTTTCTGGCTCAGTATTTCTTTGCAGTTCTAAATCGAAATTTAATTTCTATCAATCTTTGTTTACTTAACAGTGAGTGATCATGGTGCTAAGAGAAATACTTACAAATCACCATTTGAAGAGAAACGCGATCGCGACATCAGAAGAATAGGTGCCAAAGTAGATAGACTCAAGGAAACACAAGTCAGTGATCGCCAAGATTTGCTTGAGTTTCAGATTAGTATTAAAGAAGAGCAGTTGGAGTTGATGAAGGCGGATATCAAGTAAGTATTTTGTGCTATGTTTGTTATTGACAATTGTTGATGATTTTTTTTGATGACGCTAGTATTTTATTTATGTTACCAGGAGTGTTTCTGCATAGATTTGTTATCTAAACAACCTCTTTAAACTTTTGTTTGTCCTTGCTGTATTTATTTTAGACAGGTTTTTCATACTTCAATGTTTATATATTAGCTTCACTGTAAATTGCAACTGTTACAACGTTCATGTTATGGGATCTTGGCTCATGCCGAAATTTGTAATTCTTCATGTTTGGAGAAGGATTACAGCAGTTGCGTTCATATTGGTCGGGACCCACTCGGCTTGTGTCAAAATCACGCCCTCATTCTTTGATCTATTATTTGACCCAAACATGGAAAATGATACACATATGATGATAACAATAATTGTTATATTGAAATTATATCCATTTGCATTTATGGTATTTATTACGAGTCATCGTGCACATGAACGGCAAAAAACAATTACTTTTTCACGTTGATGTAGCATTGCCAGAAAAAAACAGTTGCAGCAGTACATAAATATCCGTCACTGACGATGGTTTGCATTCATTTCATTCATTACTACAGCATCCAACCATATATAGCTGCACTTTCTTCTGTCATGTTGGTACTACATGTACT